GTGTTGTTGAAAGGATTTCTCATAAACACATGAAAGTATGATTGTGAAAGGTTTTCTCACATAGTAAGGATTCTAAGGTTGAAAGGTCTTCTCACCTAAATGAATCAAAGATAAGGAGCTATCCTAATGAAACCTAGCTTGCATGGTTATTTAATGATGCCTTTCCATGGATGACTTGTGACCTAGCTTGGATTGGCAAGATGACGTGCCCTTCCATGGATAATAAGAACAAGTAAGAAAATGACTATTATGTGGGATTTATTCTTAGCACCGAGAGGATATTGAGATGGAAGATCTCCCGTTCGTAGAGGCAGTGTTTCTAGAAGCAATATCCTTATCCCTTACCTATGCACCCCAATAGGATGATTGTATAGATAGACATTAGCTAGTGGATCCACAATAGCTAGAAGTTCATGATTCTACCTTGGCAAATAGGACAACCCTTTTCAGTGTGGGAGACACTGGGGGATCATGTTATAGCTCGCATGGTGTCTATGTGGGTTAAGGTTACTTCCCACGATAATAATGAACTGAGGTTACTTCAAGAAGTATCTCACATGTGTGCAAAGGTTTTAAAGATGTTAACTTGCATTGTTTATGACTTATGTTTTCTAACCCATTTTATATCATGTTTTAGCTAGGTCATTGCATGTCATGGAAATGTCCCCTTTTTTGCATGAATAAAATGTTTTTATGCATGGCTATCACACTTGGTACATATTTTTTACTAACGCATACTCTTGCCTACATTTCCCCAAATGTAGGGTCCAACAATCAGGGTTCTCAGTTTCATGGCTAGAGGTTAACTTGAGAGATTTTGAGCTTTGGTGAGTCCTCATGCTTTGAGGACAGATTTTCATTGTTTTTAGTTTTCCTTCTTACTTTCATTTTTGGACATGATGTATGGGCTAGGCCCAATATTTATTCTTATGTACTTTATGGCTAATGAGACAAGTGTTTAGACTTCCACTTTACCTTTATAAAACTTTTGGGACTTGAAATGTTCTTCTTTATATCTTATTCATTCTATGTCTTATGTTATAAATGCTAAGTGGCGACTATGGGGCCTCTCGGGGTCCTATACACCATGTTACGCCTAGGGGGTACCTTGGGTCGTGACAATCTCACTTTAGCAATAATGATGATACGGAGTCTTACCTTTACAAGTAGGTATCATGAACTAAGACTACCGCTGGTCGTAACACAGTGCTTAGAGTTACAAGTGACCCCAAGTGAACTTTTGATAATGGCATAGTCATGAGCAACCAAATATGAACATCTAAAAAATAAAAATGATTGAATGGAAGCATGATTATAGAATATTGGTTCAATATATTTTTGAACAAACGTTTGTATACAACAACTATAATGAGAAAAGAATCTAGAATAGAATAGACTGAATACAACAACTCTAACTGACTATATATGAAGCATCTACTAGTATTGATCATAGTAAGTCAGGACATGACCCTTGCTCTATTTATTTTAATACATGTGAATAGAAATAACATACTAGAACTACAAACTGACTTGAGTGGTTGAAATAAGAGAATTCATCACCTGCTCGAAATAAGAGAATCATCACCTGCTAGCTAAAAGTTGCAATTCAACTAACTAGAATCTTGATAGTAAGAACCTGAATCTACATCACATGAAATATGTAGGCACAAGATGTTTGTGAATCAGTACTTTGAATGTGATGAGTATGAGATATATACATGATAATTTGTAAAGTTGGACATCATGAATTTGAGACTCTAAATTGATTATGAAACTGAAATACATGAACTGATGCAATGACCAAGTAGTAAAACATGTAACTGATAGATTATGTAACTCAAATAATTGAATGTAAGGTCAAAATAATAATCTAAAAGACTTACTCTCACACAAAAAATAGATAGTCTTACTTGATAAGGTAACGACCATAATCTTAAGCTTAGGTGGATTTACTAGCTAATGTTCAATCTGAACAATCCTACGGGGGCACGTAGTTTAGGGACTTGAGTAATAACCACTAGTCCAAACTCTCAACAGAAATGTATATAATTATATCATATTCATAATTTTAGTCTTTGAAATGGTAATAATCTAGTAATACCAATTCAATTATAAAGACTCTTATACATAAGAATAGCTTCTTAAAATATCATAATTTCATAACATATCAATTCATAAGATATACTTAATCGAAAGCATCTAAATCATGATAACTTTCATAATGAGAATACTTTAATCCGAAGGAACCTAATTTTATAAAAATCATTTGACATTTTATTCGAAAGTTTCCTTGAATCATAATCTCTTAAATTCATAATGCATGCATATAATAAAAGCTTAATTTCATAGTCAAAATACTCATATAGCATGAGTTCATGTATAAATCATTGAAAATACGTAATTATGATCAAATCATGCATAATAAGATCAATCATGATGAAAAAATCTTAAATAAATTGAACCCACAACAAAATTATCAAACACTAGAATTTGGAGAAAATAATAACTTGAAGTAAAATATACTCTCATGAAATATTTCTCAAAAATAATGCACTTGAAATTAAAGATAATAATACTTTCTTGAGATACTTCTTGAAAATAATGCACTTGAAATAAAATATACTTTCTTGAAACTCTTCTAAAATAATGCATTTGAAGTTAAAGATAATAATACTTTCTTGAAATTCTTCTTGAAAATAATGTAACTGAAGTAAATACAATTTCTTGAAACTCTTCAAAAATAATATACTTGAAATTAAAGATCTTGAAATACTTCTTGAAAATAATGCACTTAAAACTAAATATACTTTCTTGAACTCTTTCTTGAAAGACTTCTATAAAATTTTGAACATTCTTTATTCATGAAAGTAATGCATATGAAATACTATGATAAGGTATTTAAATAACTTTGATTAGAAAGGGGTCCATGTGGTATAATAAGAATGGACCATGAAACAACAATCATCAATGACATAAAATACCATTATTTTGATGATAAAAATCAAGAATCAATTGTAGGAGATAAAGGAAATTCGAAATCATAGAATCTTGGATAAAAAAATCATAGCTTTGATCTTACTAATTGAAATTGGAGAAGTAGGGTGTGAGGAAGAAAAAAGTTCCTCACTTTAATAATCTTACATACCTTAAATGCACCATGAATCTTGAAGAAGAACCCTAACTTGAAGAAGAACGATCAAGAAATCCTTTCTTGAGACTGAATTAGTTTCATGAAAAATCCTATGGCCAAGGGTAAAATTTATATTAATGATTCATAATTATAAGAAGGAATTTGAATTGAAAAGATTGAATCTTGAAGAAGACTTAACTTGAAGAAGAATCTTGAAAAAGATTTGAAAAAGTCTTGCTTGGAAGGTTTATGATTTTCCCTAGATTTTTGTCTTGGGGTTTGAGAGAGTAGAAAGAGGAATTAAAAATGAAAATCTGATTGTTTAGGGCTTTATAGGAGGTAAGAAATCTGTTTTATGGTTTTTTTTATTGTTATAAGGACCTTAAAATTACCCTTTTTAGAATTTTGTCGTTGGCCAAAACAGAACTGTACTGCATCATTTAGTAAAATGATCATAACTTTCCACTCTGAACTCACAGTGACACAAACTTGTGATTTTGGAAAGAAGACTCATAGAACTTTAATTTGATATGTTATGAGTCATCTAACATTCATATTCTAAGAGATATTGTTGTTTGAAGTAGACCCAAGTAAAATATTATATGGAAACTCAATCGTAAGGAAACTTTCAACTCAACTTTATGTTAGAAGAATCTTATGACCTATTAATCTTCAAATTTACTCCCATACTAATGAATTGACTTTAATACCTATGCACAATTAAGAATCACCCGGTGCGGCAGTATACACATATGAAGAATGACTCGGGTCTTAGCTTAGAGATTTTTAGGGTGTTACAGTTGGACTCTTTCTTTTTCGTGTGAGGGTTACAGTGGATTCTATGTTATAGCTCACATGGCCTATTGTCGATTAATGGTAAATATCCCACAAATGAACTATATTTTCTTTAAATATTTTATGTAAGCTTTTCTTATGGTTTTAAATATGCATTGACCCTGTTCATGTTTAAAGGTTTTACTATGTTTTACTTGATCATGCATATCATGTATTAAGTTCACTACATTGTCATGTTTACGTTTTTATGCATTTTCCCATATTCAGTACATTTAAAGTACTAATGCATATTGTGTCTATATTGTTTTATAATATAGGGTCCAATGCTCCTCCTTCTAGATGTGGCTAGTTTCATGATTGCTCTTCTGTTGATCTTGGATTGGTGAGTCCTTACGGTTTGAGGACATGACCTCTGCTAGATTTATGGCTTTTGATGTCATTTTTGTTTTCAGATACTATTCGTGACTTAGGGGTTTTTCCTAGTCACATCTATGTTAGTAGAAGTCTTATGTTAGACTTAGCATATGTTTTCATGTATTCTCTTATGTACTAAGTTGGTATCTCTTATGTCATCTAAAGCTTGAGATTTATGTTGGTTTATATTCTTTTTTATTGTGTTTTGTTATGTCATATTTATGTTAAATGGCTTGTTTAAGGTCTCTTAGGGTCCTATTAACCATGTCACAACTAGAGTGTACTTTGGATCATGACAAACTTGGTATTCAGATCCAGGTTTTAGAAAGGTCCTGCGATGTCTGACAAGCCGCGTCGAGTAGAGTCTTGTTTATGAGCGTGAAGTGCGCCACATTTATGAATAGAAGGTTACAAGGCTTTTAGGAAACTTTGCTTCTTTCACTACTCTAAAGTCGTCCAATAGAGTTGAACTCTATAAATATCTTTCTTCTAACTCTTGTTCGATGTTTTTTAGGATATGTCTGCTTGAAGAGCTAACATAAGAAAGAATGTAGGTGACAACGTGGAGCCTAAGGCTCCTCAAGTGTCAATCGATCCTTTGGCTGAGCAATTATCACATGATATGTTATGAGCCACTTTCCAAGTGTTGGATCAAGCTATAATGGTTCAAGCTAATAGAGAAGTCATTAATCATGTGAACCTAATTGTGGGTACGGCGGTAACAAGGATGAGAGACTTCACTAGGATGAATCTCCCGGAGTTTCATGGGTTGAAAGTTGAGGAAGATCCTCAAGAGTTTGAGGAAATCCACAAGATAGTGGAGATTATGAGATTTACACCACTGGAAAAGGTGGAATTGACTGATTATCAACTTAAGGGTGTTGCTGAAGTGTAGTTCAGTCAATGGAAAGAAGAGAGGGCAATTGATGCAAGTCCTCTTGATTGTGAGAAATTCAAAGGGAATTTTCTTGAACATTTCTTTTCCCTTGAGATGAGGGAAGTAAAGGTGCTTGAGTTTATCAATCTTTGACAAGGGAACATGAGTGTGAAAAAGTTCACTCAATTATCTAAGTATGCTCCTACTATGATTGTTGACTCTAGGGCAAGGATGAGTAAATTTGTATTGGGTGTGTGTGAGATGGTGGTCAAAGAATGTCGAACTGTCATGCTAATCAAGGATATGGATGTCTCTCGTTTGATGATACATGCCTAGCAAATTGAAGAGGAAAATCTAAAAGAGAAGGCTAGAGAGTCAAAAAGGGAAAGAACAGGTGATGGTGACTTCTCTCATTCTAGGTTTGGTGGACATGGACATCCTCAATTTTGGCAAAATATCTCCGGTTAAAATTCTTCTAACATTCTGGATCCAAAGTTCAACAAATATAAGGTGTCTAACCTTAAGCCTCAAGGAGGTGGTGGTAGTGGATCTTTTGTTCCCGTTTGCCAAAAGTGTGGCAAGAGTCACTCTGGAAAATGCTTAGCCGGTATGGATATTTGTTATGGTTGTGGAAAGAGTTGTCACAAGGTGAAGGATTGTCCTTTGCAAGCTAGAAAGAGCAAGGATGGTAGGCAAGCTCAGTCTAGTTATTCTGGTTCAGGTGGTAATCCTCGTCAGAACAGGTTCTATACTCTTCAGACTCGACATGATCATACTAATTTTCCGAATGTTGTGACCAGCATGTTGAAAGTCTTTCATTTTGATATATATGATTTGTTTGATGTAGGTGTTGTATTGTCTTTTGTGACTCCATATGTGGCTATGAGATTTGATGTTTGTCCTGATATTCTTTTAAAACCTTTTTTAGTCTCTACACTAGTTGGTGACTCTGTTGTTGCTAAACGACTCTATAGGAATTTTCCCGTTTCATTTCTCAGAGTCACTCATATTGATCTTGTAGAACTTGACATGCCAGATTTTAATGTTATTCCTAGGATGGATTGAGTTAATTATTGTTATGCTTCAATATACTATAGGGCCCGATTGGTCATATTCAAGGTTTCGCACGCACCTATCTTAGTATGGAAAGGGGAAAATTCAGCACCAAAGGGTAAGTTTTTATCTTGTCTAAAGGCTAGGAAAATGGTTTCTAAGGATTGCATCTTTTATCTTGTTCAGGTTAGGGATACAAATTTTAAAACCTCTACTCTTGAGTCAGTTCCGATTGTTAATGAGTTTCTGAAGTGTTTCCTAATGATTTTCTTGGTTTTCCTCCTGAAAGGGAAATAGACTTCGGTATTGACCTACTCCCAGATACGCAACCTATTTTTATTCCTCCTTACCGTATGAACACAACAGAACTTAAGGAATTAAAGGACAAAATGAAGAATATATTGGGTAAGGGTTTCATTAGACCGAGTATCTCACCATAGGGTGCTTCAATTTTGTTTGTTCAAAAGAAGGATGGTTCATTTCGAATGTGTATTATTTTTGCAGCTACAGACAAAAGATCTTTACAGCTTATAATGAGGGGTTTGAGAAAATATGAGGAGCAATCAGGACGATTGATCAACAAAGATAAGAAATATTATTATGCATACAGTAAGGCAACACAAATCTTTAGACAATTGGTGGAAGAGGTCACTGATTTTTCAAGAGGAATATTTCCTTTGATGCATTTGGATTTCCCTATTGGTCATGACAAGAAACAAAAGGTACATTGCTCAATGCTGATAAAAAAAAAATTCAAAGCAAGCTACATATATGGAAAGGAAAGTTATTGTCTGGAGGGGTAAAGTTGTTTTAATCAACAGTGTGCTATAGAGTATTTCTATATGCCTTTTATTTTTCATTAATCCTCCTAAATGTGTGATATATGATATGCATATAATTTTTTGCTAAATTCTTACGGATTTCAAGGAGGAGGAAAGATCTACTCACTAAATTGCATGGAATGATATATGTGTATAAAAAAAAGGACTGAGATTTAGGTCACTGTTTGATATCTCTGAGGCTTTATTTGCTAAGTTATGGTGAAAATTCAGAATTTCTAATAATATTGTCTAACGATATGTGAAGTAAGTATTGCAAGAGATACATACCACAAATAGTTGAATGATCCAAAATATGAAAAAACATGTCACTACTAAGGAATTTTTTTTATCAAGATATATGGTGGGAATCCAAGAAAGAAAATGTTAGTGTATGGCTTGACAATTAAATGTGGTTGGGGGCTCAGCATTTTCATATGAATATTAATCATGATAATAGTTAGCTGAAATTTGTTAGGCAATTGGTAATGAGGACGGATGGGATGGTAATGAGGACGGACGGGATCAGACAGTATAACATGGTAACTTTTATGAGAAAGTTTGCAATCACATTAATAGTGTCTTGGAAAATCTAGTACTTACACTTACCTTGGTGGAGCCTAGTGGTTTTGGACAATTTAAGGTGGGAAAAACATGAAACTTGTGCAGATACAGGAAAGAACCAATAGAGGAATATGTCTAATATATGGATGAAAGAATTACCTTTTAAGGTGTGCTTCCTTTTATGAAGGATGTGGCTTAGAAGAATTTATATTGGGGAAGTGTTGATCAAAAGAGGTATTATTAATTTTGTAGAGTGTGTTGCTATAACAACAATATACAAAAATCATTTGTACATTCATTTATTAAATATCCTAACTTTAACTAGATTTGAAAGTTGTTTAATGAAGCTGCAGGATTACAATTTCAATTAGTGCAGATTAATTAAATTTTGGAAGAGTAGTTGAAGGCTCACTGTTCTAGTAAGTTAAAGTCTATTTTTGAAGTAGTTCCTGCTTTTATAATATGAAAAATTTGAAAAATAAAGAATGTGATTAAATATGGAGAAGTATGTCCAAACATAGTATGATATTGAAGATTCGCAGAAATTTATATTTGTTTATCAAGTATAGATATTCAGATTAATCAAATTTTGAAAGAGTGGTGGAAGGTTGAGTGTTCTAGTAAGTTAAAGCATGTTTTTTTAAAATAGTTCCTGCTTTTATAATATGGCAAATTTAAAAGAGGAAGAATGTGATTAACCATGGGGAGATATGTCCAAACATAGTATGATTGGAGATTCATATAAATTTATACTTGTTTATCAAGTATAGATATTCATGGTTAAAAGACATCTCAAAGAGTTTACAATTGATTGTGAAGCTTTAAGAAGTATATACACCACGTATTCAGACTGAAAAATTTTAGATGGTTACACCCTTCAAGCGGTAAATTCAAATATAATGTTGATGGCTTAGTAAGATTTGAGACTGGGTCAATGACTTTTTGTATAGAGAATAAAGCAGAAAAGATGATATATGATGAATCAAGTTGATGGAGAATGTTTCTGTTATTGAAGTAGAAATTAAGGCGATTAAAATGGATATAGATTATTGTTTAAACCATAGTTTAGTACCTTTGATTATGTAAACAAATTCATTAATGTATTAGAAAAGTTTAAATGAAATTTGGGAAGTCCTATGGTTTACATCTCTGGATGTAGGGCTCATAAAAGGATTGATGATGAATAGAGAGGTGACAGTGGTGCATACTTATCGAGACGAGAATAAATTAGCAAATCTTTTTTACAATCATGCTTTTGATTTTGCAGGTACACACAAAAAGCAATTCTCTAACATTCACGAAATTCCTCAACAAGCACAAATAATAATACAACTCGAAATAGACAATATGTCAAATTTGAGTCTCGTTAAGAATATAAGATACAAGTTACAGAGCTAATAGAGAATGAAAGAACAAAAAAATATAACAGAGGAAGCTTAAGTAGAATCTCGATACCTTATATTTATAACTGTAAATTTATCTTCTTAAACAGTGGTATCAACTCCATAGGGGTTCAATCTGTTGAGAGGATAAATTAAATGTTGTAAAAGTAAGGAAATGAAAACATCAAGACAAGCTTATGAGTCTAGGTCAGAGGTAATTTCAAGTTCAATTCGAGTTCTTTTACGTTTCAGAGCGAGTTGCACATTCACATACCTTTTGAGCCACCATAGATCTACTACAATCATGTTGAAGAATTTTTCAGTGGTGTTGAATCATGACGTTAGTGAGAAATTTTAACGTTCAAGTGATTACAAGCCAAACATGGATATTGTTTGTAGAGGATGGTGATAGGAGGTGTGATATTGTATTAAGGAAGACAATATGCATGTGGTCCATCTGATTTGTTTACTCATTTGATTTGATGTTGAGGGCTTCCGGTGGAGCTGAAGAAGAGTTCTTGAAACTCCTGAAACACTTGTCTTTTATGTTTTAGTAATTTCATTTTTTTAGATTTTTTGGGTCTGGGCCACTTTTGGGCTTGGACATTTATAAATGTAAAAATTAGGCAAATGACATAGTATAAGAAAGAAATTACTTCATTTCCCTACTCTTTCATTAATTACCAAAAATCCCCCTTTTTAGTGTTTTTCGGATACATAATATAGCAGTGTGGATACTTAATATAGCAGCGCGGATACTTTAATTAATAACGGACGGATACTTAAATTATTAAGTTGTTACCAGCACGGATACTTAATTAACGGGCGGATACTTAAATTATTAAGTTGTTAGCAGCACGGATACTTAATTAACGGGCGGATGCATAATATAGCAGCGCGGATACTTTAATTAATAACGGGTGGATACTTAAAATAATAAAGTATCCGGTTAAGTTGAATTGGGAGAAATAAGGGATTTTTGTATTTTAGTAAAAGAGTAGGGAAATATTGAGAATAGGTAAAGAAGTGTTGTGTATTTAAGTAATTTTTCCTTTATAAATAGCTCTCTTTTTATTAATAAAAGGCCCAGCTTGAACGACCTTAGATTTTTTTTAAAATAATTGGAATAGATCGTGTAGAAAGTAGTTTTTTTCTCAAAATTAAAGCCTACAAGTAAGGTACATGGATTAAGTTGATAAAAGATGAAAAATATTATTAAGTGGAAGAATTATTTTTAAAAAATTATACATGACATAACAAATACTTGAATCATCATGTGATTCCCTAAAAAATTCTTGCTTTTTTTTAGTTTTATTGGACATGAAATTTAAGAAATAAAGTGAAATTTCTGAATTTTGTGATATTATTAACTTAATAATATACCTTCTTTAAAGCTTATAATCTTGACTTGTCAAAATTTTTATGATTCTTAAACTTACCATATGTAAAACGTTGAAATTGAAAAACTTACTAAATATAAATAGAGATACTCCATCTGTCCCATTTTATGTGAGGTAGTTTGACTCGGGATGAAATTTAAGAAAGAAAGGAAGGCTTTTAAAACTTGTGGTCTAAAATGAATGATAGAAAATTGTGTAGCTATAAATCATTTCATTAAGGCTAAAAACATTTTAAAGTTAAATTGTTACTTAATATAGAAATGTGTCATTCTTTTTTAAACTGGCTAAAAAGGAAAAGTAAGTCATATAAATTGGGACAGAAGAAATACATTTTTTTAAAATAAACTAAAAATAGTAATTTATATTTTTAGGGTTGAACTTTGGTCCAAACATGTTTGTTCTTAAATTTACAGAATTCAAATTTCTCACAAAAAGTAGAAATCAACTCTAATTTATATTTAGAGCTGTCAAAAAGGGTCGGCCCAGCCTCACCCGGCCCAAGCCTCGCGGGCCAAGAAATTTGAAGGGGGGTGGGCCGGCCCTTCATTTGGTAGGGCCTGAAAATGTTCAACCCAACCCTAGAAGGGCAGAGGGCTGGGGCGGGCTAGCCCTTCTTTTATTCTTTTTATAATTCTATAACATCAAGAATATGAGAAGATTTTCAAATCAAATATGGCAAACAATGGTGTTGTTTCAATAACACTAACAAAAAATCTAGTGTAATTAGCATGTATCTCGCATACCAGATACGCGAGCGAGATAAGAGAGTGACAAGCAAGATGGGAGAGAGGTGAGGGCGCGAGATTTGTCCATGTATCCTAGATACATTTGAATCTACTTGGATAGAG